TTCCTGTCAGATGGGGACATGGTCCAGGGAGTGGTGCAAGGTGAGGCCAGCTTGGTCTGCCATTGGCTGAGCCCTGACCCCTGCGGGGCCTGGGCTGGAGCCCCTGAAGTGAACCAGGAGACTCTCTAGGCCTGGCCAAGGTTCCTGTCCTCCTGGAGCTGATGTTCTAGGGAGACACAAACAGTGCGAAGGTAAACACAGAAAACACACAGTGTGCAACAAAGGGAAATAAAGCCAGTAAGAGGAGCCAACAGCCAGAAGGGAGGTACGAGGGGAGAGGGGAGGGAAGAGGACAGGCAGAGGTCACTCTCAAGTGTGCAGGGTGCTGAAGGGGGCTGCATTGATTTGGCCTTGACTCTGGGAGGGTCTTGAGTAGACAGGGGATGTGACCTGACTTGGATCTAAGGGACCCCTCAGCTGCCACAAGAAAGCAGACTGGGAAGGAGAGGCAGAAAAGGCCGTGAGGAGGTGATTGCAACAGTCCAGGCAAAGGCAATGGGGCTTGGGTCAGGGAGGGGTGGTAGGCCGGGTGTGTCCTGAAGGAGAGAGGACAGCTTTTGCTGACAGGTTGAATGGGTGAGGGGGTGGGGAGCCAAGGGTAATACCAAGGATTTGGCTCTGAGCCTGTTTCCTCATTTGTCTATCAGATAGCATAATCCCCACCATCCAGTACTTCGCAATGTTGGGGGTCCAGCTGGAGCTCAACAAGGGGTGGGCTATTGTCTGCTGCCAAGACTGCCCTGCTTCTCTTATCTTTATAGGTCCCCTATTCCCACAGCTTTGGCCTAGCCAATTCCTGGACATCCCCTGGATCTCCTTCAGGTGTCACTTCCTTAGCAAAGCCTTTCCTGATTTCCTTTCCCCCACCTATCACACCTAGTGGCTCCCAGTCTCCTCCCTCACAGCTCTAACCTTTTTTTTTTTTAATATTAAACATGACCGGTAAGGGGATCTTAACCCTTGACTTGGTGTTGTCAGCACCATGCTCTCCCAAGTGAGCTAACCGGCCATCCCTATATAGGGATCCAAACCCGTGGCCTTGGTGTTATCAGCACCACTCTCCCAAGTGAGCCACGGGCCAGCCCCAACAGCTATAACCTTCACGGCCAGAGCTGTCCCTCCTGTGGGAAGGAAGCCCACAACGGTAATGAAAAACCCTCTGTCCCTAGCACCTAGGAGAGCCTAGGAGAGTTCCTGTCTGTCACTCAATGTGCCTGAGACCTTTCCTGTTCCCTCTTCTACCACCACCCTGTCCTCAAGTTCAAAGCTCTTTGCACCAGATTCCTATGGCCTTTCTCTCTCCCTCCTCAGTGTAAGGTGGGGGTGGAGAGATTCCCACTTAGGCCAGCCTTTGCCACTGAGGGTGTGTGACCTCAGGCAAGTCTTTGCCGAGCATCAGTTAACAAAGCTTGTTCTTTCTCCGTTTCCCTAGGATCTCTCCCACTTAGTGTGAACAGTTTGAACAGGCCTGAGGGTTTTCTGATATGTGGACTTTCAGTGCTAGAACAAGAACAGTCCTAGGCAAACCAGGATAGTTAGTCATCCCACTCCTGCTATTGCTGAACTCCTTACTAACTATTTTTTAATTTCACAAGCCAAAATATAACACATTCTCCTCATACAAATAAAACGTTAAACCACTAAATGGAATCAGGGCTCCTTGGGGAAATGGCTGATTCCAGGTCTGGGATATGGAGAGTACAAGATGATACTGGCACAACTTGCACCAGAAAGCGAGGAAGTGCTCAAAAATCATGACATTTTATTTTCCTTTTTTTTTTTTTTTTTCCGTGACCGGCAACGGATAGCAACCCTCAGTGTCACGCCCATACCGGGCCGGGACCGGCAACGGGATCGCAACCCTCGGTGTTGCTCCCGCACCTCGCTCAGCCAGTGAGCGGCCGGTCTGTATGTAGGATCCAAACCCTCAGCGGGAGCACCGCCGCGCTCCCAAGCGGCGCACTGTAGCAGTGCACCACCGGGCCGGCCCCAAATTATGACATTTTAAAAGGACATGGAACAAGTGTAGAGGAGCTCCCACTGGCCAAATCTGCTACCATTTGAGCATCAAAGTAAGTAAAAAGAGTAATGGATTGTAACCCACTCAGTAAAATAAGAATCCATAGATCCACACTGCTAATGAATTAGAACAACTCAAAAATGGAGGACTGATGGAAACAGAAAAGCAGCTCGTATGGCAATAATTCATTCAGGCAAGACCTATCAATTAATGCTAAAACTAGTGGGTCAGAGTTTGAGAAGTGACAAGATATTTGCATGGTCCCAAAGTGTCTTCTACTATGACACTAATTACAAAGGAAACACCCAACAGAAGAGGGATGTCAGTCAACATCTAGTACCTTCTGCGGGTGCACTGAGAACTCAGAATACCTTAGTGATAGCGCTGCCAAAAAATGCATAACGTAATCTACCCACGAGGATACATCAGTGGGCACATCACTGTGAGCTGCACTCCTCAGAAGGGTCAGATTGAAGGAAACTAAGGAAACCTGACAACAGAATGCAACTGCATCCTGGAGCAGAAAACCAAGAGAGTTGGGACCCCAGTGCAATTGAGATGTGGACTGTGCATTGGATAACAGTATCAGTGCCCCCTGTGTTGGGATTTCTATTTGTTTTCTTTTAAGTTTGGTATTGAGGTCTCTGGCCATAGGCCAAGACAGCCACTCTCCAGGAGCCATGACGGGGCCGGGTTGGGGGGTGAAGGGAGTAGTTAGGTTCAGGTGTGTGTGTCAGGTGAGCCACGAGGAAGTGATACGAAAATGTATGAAACAAAAAACTTCTTACAGGTCTCAGAGAAGTTAGGGGCGCCAAAGGGAGGCTGACCAGCGGGTGGAGGGACAATGAGGATGGGCGCGGGGAGGGAAGAGAGAGAGGGGACCCGTGGCCTTTACTAAAGTCCATGGGAGTCTTCTTAGGTTTTCTCTTCGGTGTTGTGGATTGGCTAGTTTTAAAAAACACGAGGTAAGGAGGAACTTACATGACTCTGGGTTGACTGTGGTTCTATCATAATCGGCAGCTGTGGGGCGTGTTGGGTTCTCGGTCAGTGAGACGAGTCACAAGCGGGTTACATCGCAAAACACCACACGGGGAGGGGAAGTTTTAACTAGACAGAAAATGAGGGGTACGACTGGGTTTCCGATAACCTAGGTCAGGCCTAAAAATGGGGGCGGACGCCAGCAACTACGTTAATCACGTTTATGACACTGTCTATGGACGCGTCTTTACTCCCAGAAGTACACCCTGAAGGACTAAGGAGTCACAAGAGCATGCAGGGGCTGGGCCAACGTTCCCTGTGACGCCTGGGCGCCCTTTGCGGACCCGCCGTCCTCTCGGGGCCTCCCGAAGCCAGTCTCCTCCGCAGACGTCTGCGCCGAGCATGCCTCGCGCCGCCTGCGTGCTTCAATCAGAAGCCGTGAGACGCTTAGGACGCGCTTCCCAGTCGCGGGGGCCCTGGGTGCGTCAGCCTCGCTCGTCCGACGGTCGGAAACCCAGCCCCGCGCCGCGCCCGAAGGCCGGCCGCCGGGGGGCTCTCCCGACACCCGCGAGCCCGCCGCGCCTTGCCGGGCCCAGCTGCGGCAGACCCAGGGACCGCGGCGCGTGGGGCTGGAGCAACTCCCGGGCGCTGAGCCTTAGAGAAAGCCCTGCGCCCACGCCCACTCGGCTCGCTGTCCGCGGCACCGGAAGGCACCCGCGCATCCGGCTGGGACGTCAGCGGCGCGAGCCAATCACGGCCGGGCCGGGTGGGCGCGGGGTACGACGGGCCTTAAGTCGGCCCGGGAGCGGAACCACATCCCCCACAATCCCCCGGCGGCGGCGGCGGCCGAGGCGATAGGTTTGAGGGCGCTTCCACCGCGCAGGGCGTGGGCCAATCACGGCCGGGGCCGGGCGGGCGCGGGGCACGACGGGCCGTGTAGTCGGCGCGCGGGCGGGACTGCAGCCCCCAGCTTGCTCCGCGCCCGGCGGGGA